ATGTAGAGCCAGAAAAGATGCCACTTGGGTTCTGGCTCTTTCTGTCTCTCAATTTTTGTCTTCTTCTAGGCTGGCTTCATTCTCAGGCACACTCACACATGAGGTGGCCAAGATGGTTCCCTGGAGCTGCAAGTTCACCTTCTACCAGCTGATTAACACCAGGCAAAGCATTCAGGGAGGTACTTCACTGGACTGGCCATGAATTAATATGGGTAGCTGACCATAGGGAATGAGAGGTTGGGATTGTCCCCACCGCACACTCACCAAGGAATAGGGAAGGTGCCTAAAGGAAAATTGGGATGTGCTTATTAAAAGAATGGAAAAGGATTCTGAGAAAGTGAAATCAACAGATGTTCCCTGTGGAAGAGCATGAGAAAACAGTAGGAGAATGGATTTAATACATACTACGTAAAAGCAATTAAACCTGTCCTCAATCCACTAAAACCAAACAAACCAAAACCCCCCCAAATCCTCTTTTTAATTGAAAACTAAATGTCTGGTAGGACACATTCTTTCCTGGGCGGCTTTTGTGTTCTTGGGGCTGCTAAAGTGTGGAGGAAATGGTGGGTTCATACTTCGCTTCCTTTCTACCCATTTCTACAGTGATGTTGAGACTAGAAAGTTGAACATGACATTTCCCAGACTTCCTTGCAGTGAGGGTAATGGATACAAGCTAATTCCATTCAGTAAAGGAGCTCAGAGAAGTTCTACAAAGAAAAAGCTAGTGGGAAGGCAGTTCTCTGCTGCTTGGTTGCTTTCTGCTGTCAGAGACAGTTGCAGAGATCTTGGGCTTTTCTGTAGCAACCTTCAATGTGCAGTCTCTAGTTTGGTGGGTTTTGAGAGACAGCAGCAGAGGTAGCCTTTGGAGTCCCGATTGTGGAAGTAGTAGCAGTTCTTAAGGTGGACCAGTTCTACAGCACTACTCTGGAAGCCATTTCTGTGGGCCCAGCTGAAAGCTTGCTATTTGTACCCTTCCAACAGTGAAAGCAGGGAGCTCACTGTGTTTTTTTTTTTTTCTTTTTTTTTGGTGGGGGGGAGTGGAGATGGGTACCAGGGATTGAACTCAGGGGCACTCAGCCACTGAGCCACATCCAGCCCTATTTTTTGTATTTTATTTAGAGACAAGGTCTCACTGAGTTGCTTAGCACCTCACTTTTGCTGAGGCTGGCTTTGGAACTCATGATCCTCCTGCCTCTGCCTCCCGAGACACTGGGATTACAGGCATGTGCCACCATGCCCATCCTGTTTTTTTTTTTTTCTTTTCTTTTTTAATTTATTAAATCTATTCTGTTTAAAATAGCCAAAGAGGTATTTGTTTGCTGGATTCAAATAGGCAGGGTTGACATAAGTCTTGAAAAACAACAAAAATATGTTTGGTCCTTATTGAAGGTCCGGATGCTCAGATGGGTGCATTTGTGAGCAACCCTCAGTGAGAGGGGTAAAGAAGCTCCTTTGGCTTCCATGGGGCATGTTGCATGAAAGAAGGGAGGACCACACAAACCTTTCAGACCTCTTCTGTCAATATGCATGTCTTTCCTTAAAATTCACCAGGGCTCTTCTTTCTGTACGCCCATTGGGAACTATTCTTTCTTTCTTGAATTTGTTTTTGTGATGCGAGTGAGCTCTTTGCTTTATTCACTTATTCTTTCATTTCACAGTCTACAGATATTACTAAGTATCTTCTGTCTTTTGGCAGGGGATGTTTCCTCTATTAAGTGGCCCACCCAGACCACTCTCCTCGACTCCTGGCCCCTGCTACATCTTTGCATATCCATGTGTGTTTGTACATCATTCACAACTTTGCAATTCCTCAGATGCTCTTTCACACATGCTTCTTAGGGTGTCGAAATCCAGGCTTATAGACCAGAAACTCCTGAATTTCTCCTATAAAAAGCATTTTTTCACACTCTATTGAAATTGCTTGGTCACTTGTTTCTCAGGCTAAATGTAATTGCCATAATGGCAAAGATGTGTCTCTCTTGTTGCCTGTGTAGACCCACGACTCATGGGCATACCTATGGCCCAGAGGTTCAATAAATATTTATTGAGTTTATATTTTGGTATCCTAAGGGCTTCTGGACACTGAATTATCTTTGGAAGGTCTTAGGAAAAAGGTCAGCTCTGAATATTCAAGGAGGTGATAGAAATTCCAGATGCTGAATTTTGTTTTTGAGGCAAAATCAAAACCTGGAAAAACATTTACTTTTATTCCTCCTGAAATCACTCATATTTTAATCCTCTATCCTCATCTCTTTTAGTTCCACCAGATACACAGAGAGATAGAAAAAGAAAAAGAGAGATGTTTAAACCTCTTTGTAGCATACGATGTAGCAAACCTCTATTGTGCCATACCATACCATCTCATTGTGAATATCCTGGCTATTTTAAATATTTTTGATGGAACATGTTAACATGCAGAACCATGAGCCACTAAGGTTTGCTAAGCAGCAGTGGATAACTGCCACTGGAAGGAATGATAGGAGTGTTGTGAAAGCAAAATGAGATTTTAAAATGCAACATCCCTTTCCTACAGCCCTCAATAAATACCAGTTCTCCTGACCTGTCTCTTTCCTTTTCTTTTTTTAATTATTTGAATTTACAAGAAGGAATAGGTAGGTCTGAGTCATCATCTGAGATAGGTGGACTATATGGTAGATGCTTGGAATTTGAATTGCACTCTTTTCTTTTTTTTCCCTCTTTCTTTCCTTCTTTCTTTTTTTGTGTTCTTTAAAGTACAGCCAGATCATTTAGGCCCAAAATAAGAATACCAAATTCAGCCTTTGTGATGCAGACAGAAAAATCATAGGTTTGGTATAGTTTCATGGTAGTGAAAATCAAGCCCCAGAAGCTAAAATGATTCAAAGCAAAAATCTTCCCGACAACTTTTGTCATGTCTGTGTGTGTGTGGGGGGGGAAGGGGGGGTGAAAAGCAGTTAAACAAATACTGTAGACTACATAATTATTTTACCATGTAAACATGATAGAATTGCAAGCTTTTGGGGAGGTGGGGTTTAAAAGTACAAGGTTACCTGTAATTATAGTCTTGCTAAGTTTGATTTTATAGACCAGCAAAACTCAAGTTTGATTTAAACCACACAGAAAGACATGAAGCATATTGGAAATGTTCTTTTTCTTTCTGACTCAAATGGCTGCTCTTATTTCATTCTAGTGAGCTCCCTAGAAGTGAACCTTTTATTATGGTTATTGCTAAAGTTGTGTGTCTTGGTAATTAAGTTGCCCATCCTAGAAGGCTTGCTACCAAAGCAGTTTGAGATTATCTTTTTTCCCCAAAGGCATAGATAGAGGTTTATTTAGGAAGTAGATACACATTCAAGGGAGAATGTGGGCTATCTTGAGAACGAGAAATCTTTGGAATAAAGCAAGGGATACACATTTAAGGGACAATGAGTGCTATTGAGAGAGAGAGAGAGAGAGAGAGAGAGAGAGAGAGAGAGAGAGAGAGAATATTATTATCTTTTTATTTCCCCTTAAATTCCTTCAAACTTCTAAGCTTGGAGACAAGAGAGTGCATCACAGTCTTCACTGGGTCAGGTTGGTAAATTCTGCTAAATATCTGGTCAGTTAAACCCAGGGTGGAATGGGGTCAAATTAGATGCCTGATGTGAAGATAAGGGAATTGGTTTATCATACGTTTACATTTAAACCTTTAATGTGGATATCCACAAGTCACAGAATTTGCTGGAATATGCCACAGGATAAAAGACTTGGGGACGTCTGAGGTCCAGAAAAGCAGGAAGGAGGGTGACGGGTGTATGGGGGTGATCAGCTTGAGAGAAGGGTGATGTATTTTGCAGTCAGTTCCAGCTACATAGGGTTGCTTGGAGGAGGAATTTGGCTTGCCACTGAAGATGCATTTCCCTGATGAGAATGTAAGGTTTGGAGCTCGAAATTTTATGAGTGCAGGGCCTACACCTCCCTTGGCATTAAGCCACTTTCAATTAACTCTTCTGGTATCTTGTGCCCAGAGACTAAGTACAGATCCTTTAGGGTTTCTGCCTCCCAATAGAGTCTGCATCCACAGACACTGCATTTGGGGTAACTGTTTTCTTACCATTTCATAGTTCCCCGGAGGAGGTGTGATGTGTGTGAGGCTAAAAAGCTTGTTCTATAATTACTTCTTGATTTGCCTCTTGGGGGCAGTACATGTGCTCTGCCGTGTGTGTGTGTGAGTGTGTGTGTGTGTGTGTGTGTGTGTGTGTTTCATGCCAGCCTGCGCTGTCAACAGAGAAAGTGGATCTAGAGCAAAATGGTTGATACTATTTTGCCGCCAAGTCAAACATTACATTTTAGGGGAGTAGTTATGGGGACCAATTATTGTAATCGTAGCTAAAATTTATGATGCAGGGTGCCACCGCAGATGCATCCAAGTCAGTGCAATCACTTCCTAAATTAGGGAGCCCGGCAGCAAAATGCGAGGGAGCTCCAGTCCCCCAAAGGCTCATCACACCCATGAGGTCCTGCACTGCCCTGAGCAGGTTCCCTAGGTAGGAGCAGCAGTCCAGAAGTCAGCAGGATGCTGGGACGGGTGGGTTGGTGGGCTCAGGGAAGATGCCTGGGAATGCCCTTCGAAGCCTGGGGCCGCGCTCTCCCCAGGAAGACAGAGAACAGGATACCCTCACGCAGCCGCGGGGCCAGCACATTTCCCAGAGTCGGAGACGCCCGCTACCCCGCGGCCACAGCAGCTGTCCACTGCGGGCGCTGCTGGACCCAGCCCAGCGCTCGCCATTGGCTGAGCGGTGGGCTCTCCGGCCTACACGTTGCTCTCCCCGCGCCCGCGGCCGGGTTTTGCTCTCGCCTCACGGGGCCCAGGCACAGGCTCCAGGCACCCCCGGAGGCGCGGGGGCGCGGGGAACGCGGAGCAGCCTTGTGGGCGGGGCTTCGAGCAGAGGGCCCTGGGATTGGCCGCGGGGGGAGAGGGCGGGGCCGGCTTTGGAGAAAACCAGGCGCGCGCCGCCGTTGTGCAGTCCTAGCCCAGAGCTTCTGCCCTCTCGGTTCTGTGCCCGGTTCCCTGCATTTCTTACTTTTTAATTTGTTTTCTTTACCGCGGAGCGCCCCGTCCGCGCCCACTCCTGCACTGCGCCGACCTCCTCCCGCCCCGCAAGTCCGGTCCCGCGCGCGTGGTGCAGCCCCGGCTGGAGCGGCGATGCGCCTCATCCAGAACATGTGCACCATAGCCGAGTACCCTGCCCCCGGCAGCGCCTCTGCCGCCGATTGTTGCCTAGGGGCCGCCGGCCGCAGGCTGGTCAAGATCGCCGTGGTGGGAGCCAGCGGCGTGGGCAAGACCGGTGAGTCCCCGCGCTCAGGAGTTGGCGGGCGCGCAGTTCCAGGGCAGGACATGGGAGACCCGTGCCGAGATTTGTGGCTTAACCAGGCGTGGGGAAAGGTGGGAGCTGCAACTGGACCGCTCTCCCGCAGTCCCGTCTGGATTGCTTCAGCAGATGAGGGTGACTGGGATCCAGATTGGCCAGATGATTTCCCGGCCACTACCAGCACAACGGGGGTAGATCTTTGGGGTTTAGAGCCTTGAGCGATGTCTAGCAGAGAAAGGGAAGTTAGTGAACATAATCCCTCCCAGAGGTCTCTAAAATTAGGGGAACATTCGCTGCTGGAAGGCTTAGGTGTGGCTGAGCTGGACCCAGAGGAGGGGGTGGGCCACAAGACCCAGCTGGCAGAGCCATAATTCATCAGGCATGCTACCCCTTCGTCCTGTCTGTCTGGAAGAAGGGTCAAGGAGGTACAGGGTAGGAATTTCCTTCGGTGGCCGGCTGTGGCTTTCTGCAGGAAAGTTGTTTTCCAGATGGGGGGTGGGGTGGAGAGTCATCCAATTCCCAGGGTTAACCCTCTTTCCTCTCTCTGACCTGCAGCTCTGGTGGTCCGGTTCCTCACCAAACGATTCATTGGTGACTACGAAAGAAACGCAGGTGAGGAAATGTGTTGAGGAAGATGCTGTCAGGAGTACTGCCATTCCCATTTCTCAGTGCCTCCCAGGCAGGTTCCTTCAGAGTGACAGTCTGAGAGCATCAGGATTCTGGCACTTACAATTCTGCATGTCCTTTATACGATCCCCCCCCCCCCAAAAAAAAAAAAAAAAAACCCTGCCATCTGCCTCATTCCATTCCAGGCCCATTCATCATTTTATCAAGTGCCTGAAAGTATTCTCCTTGGTATGTTTTAACTATAGGGACCCCAGTTGGAAGCACCCTTTGTACTCCAGGGCCTTTCCCTTCAAAACAGGCCTGCAAAAGTCATAAAAAACATTGGCCAGCTCCTCCCCCTCCCCTCTTCCTCTCTGCTGGCTGCCTTTCAGAAGTGACCTTTTAAAGCAAAGGCCAAAGGACATCAGTTGTAAACCTAAAGTTCTCTTAACAAAGAAAATAACTGGATGGTAGAGTTTTAGAAGGAGAGTTCCTGAATAAATGAAAGGACAGATATTTCAATCTCTATGATTAAGAATAGCCACTGGGAGGCTTAAGGGCTTTCTACCTATGCTCTTTTAGCAAATTGTTTAAGTCCATAGAGCCTATGAAGTACCTATAGGGGATTATTTGAAATGAACTATGCAGGCCATCCCAAGATAAGATACGGTAGCCTTCTGCTTTGATGGAGAGTTGATAATTGTTGTGCCACATTTTTATTACATTTGATGTTAGCTGGGCATTACTAACCATATTTGCTTACCGAGCCATTATATCTCATGGCCCAAATATAAACTTCTTGTCAAAGAATGGTAACATATTAAAACAGAAACCCCACACAGGCTGAGCAACAAAATGTTCTTCAAGGAAACATTCTAGGGTTGAGTATATAACTCAGTAGTAAACTACTTGCCTAGCATGTGTAAGGCTCTAGGTTCTTCTCCTCAGCAACATACATTCACCCCCACCACACACACATGTGTTTTAAAAGTTTTTAAAGTTGCACATGAAGGAAGATCATAATCTCTTTTTTTTTTGTCGGTTTGTTTGCCTTCATAGGTAATCTCTATACCAGACAAGTCCAGATAGAAGGTGAAACCCTGGCGATTCAAGTTCAGGATACTCCAGGTATTCAGGTGAGAAGCATTGAGACTTACTAGGTCAAAGGGGAGCTCAACTGTGGAACTGTTCAGTTGTTCTCAGAGTATCTCAAGCTGGAGGGGGAGAAGACTTAAGGAGTCAGGTCTAGACTTTTACATGTTATTTGACACATTAATTGTATCTGGCTGATGGTCAATCTTAGCCTGGCCTAATTTGGGAGATTTGGCTAAGAGGCAGAATCCTTCTCTTAGGAAGATTCAACACAGCAGGAAAGACTAAACCAAGCACTTGGAATTGGCAGCGATTCCTTGCTATGGTTAAAAAGGTCAGTTTTTACATATGTGTTTTTGGCATTAAAAACCAAATATCTAGGTATAGTCTCAAATACTTGGAATCACTTTTATGTTATGGAAAGTTACTCTATAGACAAAAGAGCCATGCTAGTGGGTTTTTTTTCTTTTCTCCCTCTCCCGAACTGGGCAGTTATCCAGGTTTAAATGCTTCCAGCTCCTATCTTTACTTCCCCAGACTTACTGTCTAGCCAGTTAATTTCCCATTTTGTGCAACTACAAAGTCTCTCTGCATGGAGTTCTCTGCAGGTCAATTTTCCACTTGAGTGTGGTGAGCTGCACTGTTATTTATTCCAACTCTGTGCAGCTGGATCAACATATTGTCAAGAAAGCTGGAGTGTGTGGGGATCTAACTTGTTTATGACCTGCAGCCCGGCACTACTGTGAAGGGCTCTTTTGAATTTGCCAGCCACCCAAGCCAGGGTACTGTACGGCACTGGCACTCCAATTCACCCTGGAACTGCCCTTCTCTTCTAGGTCCACGAGAATGGCCTGAGTTGCAGTGAACAGCTGAATCGGTGCATTCGCTGGGCAGACGCCGTGGTGATTGTTTTCTCTATTACTGACCACAAGAGCTATGAACTCATTGGCCAGCTCCATCAGCATGTCCAGCAGCTCCATCTGGGCACCCGGCTGCCTGTGGTGGTCGTGGCCAACAAAGCTGACCTATTGCACATCAAGCAGGTTGACCCTCAGCTTGGACTTCAGCTGGCCAGTGTGCTGGGCTGTTCCTTCTATGAAGTGTCTGTCAGTGAAAATTACAATGATGTCTACAATGCTTTCCATGTCCTATGCAAAGAAGTGAGTCACAAACAGCAGCCCAGCAGCACACCGGAGAAACGAAGAACCTCTCTCATTCCCAGGCCCAAGTCACCAAACATGCAGGACCTGAAGAGGAGGTTCAAGCAAGCTCTCTCTGCCAAAGTGAGAACTGTCACCTCTGTCTGAAGCAGGCCACTCCAGGGGATTTGGTGTTCCCGGGAAGAGGGCCTGAGGTTCTTCCAGTGCAGGAATGTTGGATGTTGGATGTAGTTCATGGTTCCAGAAAGGGCTGGAGCAGAGGTGCCCAGAGGGCCTAAGGAACTGCTACAGAAAAGGAAGTGTTGTTTGGAGCAGGGGATAGGAGGACAGATGGATGAGGCTTGAGTGAGCCCATCGAGCCGCTCTGAATTATGTGACATATACTGTGTCTTTCCCTTTCGAGTGAAGAGGGGAGCAGACTGGCTTTGGCTTTTGTTCTTTGCCTTGTAAATGATGGTCAGTTGTAGTTTCACCAAATATATTGATGTGATTAATAGTGGGAAGGAAAGAACAAATTAAGCATTCACAGCACCCCCCCCCCCTTTTTTTCTTTCTCCCCCTCCCCCTTTCCTGTTGGATCAGTATGATTTGCATTTTTGGAACACCCTTCCTTACAGAATACCTTTCAAACTTGAAGGATACCCAGATTTCTTTAAGAACAAGGAGGAGGCTCCCCCACCACCACCCCATACACACACACAAAAGGTGGAGTTTATGGGCCAAAATATTCTGTATACAGACAGCGTAAGCTGTGGTTTTCAGGAAGGTGCTGGCTCTCCTGACACAGAATGGGCATGCCTGGTTGGACATGTGTGAATAGCTGTGAACTCAAAACAACCGAAACCCAGACAGACTAATTGTGAGACTGTGTAGTTTGGTTTTTTTTTTTTTTTTTTTAACTGTTGCTTGAAGTACACAGAAACAAAACTTGTCAATTGATTTTGGTGTGATTCAATTCAGTGGCTCACGGCAATGACGTTAGGTTGATTCCTCAGCCTGGCTGAATCGTGGCTTTGGGTGGCTAACGTACAAAACACTATGTTGCAGAAAGTGACCAGATGCCGTGGCTACCCACCAAATCCCCTACCACAGATGCACTTTAAAAAGCCACTCATGTTTTGGCTGAAACTGTAATTAATTTATTTTATGTACAATAAATCTGATTTTAAAAGAGCAGACATCTGACTTGGTCTTTATTGAAATTTTAACCCTCTGCCTTTCAGATAAAACATCACTCAGTATCTTCTATTTCTTGGGCATGTTGAGTCAGGCATTATACACCTTTCAGGGTTATCTCTTAAGTGTCTTTTATTAGCATATCCATTTTATAGATGATGAATTTTAGACTTACAGAACAAGTTGAAGAACTGAAGGGCCACAACCTGAGAGTGTTGTGGACTGCAATTTGTTTGGCACTTTATTTATTCTCCAGAGTAGCTTATGTCTATTCATTTCCTTCATGGTCTTCCAGGTAAACCTAAGACGAATGTCTTACTATGTGAATCTCGCAGCAAATCCTCGAGGGTAGAAATGCTTCTATACAAGATCAGTGCTTCTCTATGTGATTTATTTGGTAAGCCTCTTTGGGTACGCAGTTCTAAAAATACACTTTATCCTCACTGGAAAGCTCACAGCCACCAATGTATGGCTGCTCAGAGGCACTTCCACAGAGCTTTCTGCCAGTGTGTGTGCGATGACCCCTGGGCCTCTCATCTGCTCCCACCTGGGCCTGGAAGCCTTTTTCATGCAAGCTAAGTGAGTCACCATCTTTGTGGGCAAATAATCGCACCTTCTATTTGAGTAGGGTTTTCACATACCTGATCTTGTTCAATCCTGGGGCAACCCTGTGAGAAGGGCGGGGGAGGTGATAACACCATTTTGCAAATGAGAAAAATGCACTCTGAGTTTTGAGTGGTGTCCTCAGGTTCATAAGAGAGGACCTGAATCTGTGTTTTCTGAATATATTCAATGTTCTCATGATATTGCTGCATAGGTTGGGTGGTAGTGTCGGGGGAGCAGCCACTGTGACTAGCTATTGGGGTCTACTATCATGTGGACCCTGATTTTCAAATCTGTTTTCCTGGAGGAAAAATCTGACTGTTCTTGACATTGATGCTCAGGTGATGCTCCAAAGCTTCCTCATATGCACTTGGAGTCTCACCTCACCTCAAGGGTGCATATGTTGGGGGCAGGGAGAGGAAAAGTTTCCAAGAGGAGACTAAAAACATCTCAGTACAAAGGTAGAGCCAACAATCTCTGACTGGAGTCCTCTCCCTTCATTGATTCTCATTCTGCATGGTTGTGTTAACAGTGACCAGTGAGTGGGAGGTTAATCTGTATATTTTTTCACAGGGTCTCTTCCCCAGGTTCCAGAATGAAAGGAGGTAAAAGCTTCCCTGTGGGTGGCTTTCTGTGGCAAAGGTGTCTTTGCATTTGTCACTGCCATGCTGCTTCCCCTTCCTTTTGATCAGCTCCACACCTCTGTTTGCATCTTGCTGGCCTCCTCTGCTCCCGTGCTGGGTGTGTGCTGCACCTCTGCGTCCCTGGCCTCTGCTCCTCACTTCCTCACCCCTGCACAGAACTGGATCTCACATGTCATCTCCATGTTCCAGCTTTAGTCCATTTAGAGGGATACAGGGGTGTGTTTCAGGCTATTGGGGGTGGGGAATGGGGAACAGAGGTAGACACAGAGACAGAGTCCCCGCCAGAAACCACCCAGGGCCTAGTTCTGCCACCATCTCAGGCTGACTCCACTATTTATAATTGTGGAATATGCCATGTTTTCTTTTCTGAGTTCAACCTCATGTTTCATTATTTTTCTTATCTCTTTTATGATTAGTATTGTTTCTCATCATTTCATCCCCTCCATTTCTAAAATTTTCTAAGCTATAATCAGCTGGCTCTGAAAATCAGTCCTCTCCTTCCTGGGGCAGGGAAATCTCTCCTTTGCCACCTGGCAAGGGAAGGCAGGGGTGTGGATGTGTCTGGGTGTGGGGCAGTAGAGAAGGGGAAGGAATTCAAATTCAAATTTATTGAATGTTTACAACATGCCACATTACACATGCTCTCTTGTAATTTTTTGAAGAATCCTTAGAAAGGTACTATCACTTCCATTTTAAAGATGAGAAAACTGAGGCTCAGAGATGGCCCACTTAGGGCCACATAGATGATGACAATGACTGCTTCCACTGTGTTTACTGAACATCTAGGTGCTGGGCATGGTGGGAGTTTTGAAATAACAGACATTTTCTACTATTCTACCATGCATCTTTAGTTTCTTCTCCTAAAAAGAAAATGGGAGGTTCACAAGAACCAAGTAGCCAGCCAGGCTCTGAAGTGGCAGATCCAGGACTCTATCCCAGGTTCTTCTGATGCCACAGCTTAAAACTCGGGCGCTGGTCCTGTTCCTTGAATTAGACTCCACCAGGGACCTGCCTTCCCCACTCTGTTCTGGCTTGGGCCTGCTTCTTTCTGCTCCTGGCTCCTCCCTGGCCCAGTCCCTCTTTGGGGCTAGGCCACATCTGCTCTTGCCATCAGCCAGCTGCTGCTGGCCTCCAGCCCCCTGGGTAATAAAGATGTCCAGGCAGGAGGGGCGGCCACGCAGCCCGTCTGTCTAAGAACCAGCCGGACCCATGTCTGTCGTGATGTCTGGCTTTCGAGTTTCCTCCCTGCCTCAAATCAAAACCATTTGCAGCCTCTGCGGCAGGCCAAGCAGGGGCTGTGCAGACACAGGACTGGCTGATTTGCCAGCCTGGCCAGCTCTTAACCCCAAGGCTTAGGAGCTATGGATGTGTTTATAGAGAGACCCTTGTTTAGGAGAAAAATGGGATTTCAACATTCATCTTACACCCCAAGAGAGAAAAAAAGAAACCTATTTTCTGGGCAAATGAACAAGCTTGTGGGCAAATCCCCACAAAGGAGTAGTTGGGAAACTGTGATCCAGACTTGGCTTAGGGGAGATGGGATGGTTCAGAAGTCTCTGTAGAGGACAGGCCCAGAGCAAGAGGGGGTGGGGGAGGGGGACACTGCCCAGAAGGAATCATGGAGCTTGTCTGGTTACAATAAATAATCCAGGAAAACTGGTGTTGTTGGCACTCCCTTGAAAGTCTAAAGAGAAGATTCCAGAAAGTTCTTATTGTCCTCATTACTCCCGAATTTGAGAAGAGAACTGGATTACAGTTATTGCTGATGATGGCAAGACCCCAGCCACCCAATGCCTTCTTCTCACATAGTCTGCAAACCTCCCATCATCTTGTTTTGTCTCCTTAAATTCCTTTGAAAACAGAGATGGAGTTTCTTGATGTTTCTTGAGCAGGATGAAGACAATGTTTATAATACTGGATTATTTGTTATTAAGATTTGGTTTCTGGTAACCAGGGTAAAATAAATAATAGTGGTCTTGGGGGCGGGGAGCTTGATGGAATTCTTTGTTATTTAAATGTGGCTGTAAGTAGGGGCCCTAGGAGAAGCAGAATATTTGCATAGGCCTGGCCCTGGGGACCATGCTGGGCTGAGTAGTTCTGGAGCTCTGCCAGACTCTGTTGCAGAGGAGCTCCAGAAAGAGGCTTACAAAAGTACAAGTCAATTGCTACAAAGTATTTACACCTTTATCTACTGTGTTTATACAAAGTGGCCTGTGAGGTCCTTGGCAGGAGATTTGCATTTGTATGTTGGCATTGACTCTGGCCAGCCAGTTCAGGTGGTAAACAGTCACACCAGGCCTGAGACAGGAGGAACAGCACTACCACTCAGCTCTGCATTTCATGTCACCTTTGGGTGGCCGACATGGGGTGGGTGATCCCCTCAGAATGTCACATAGGACATAGGATAGAGGCATGAGGATGGGCAGAAAGGAGACAGGCGGGACAACCCAAGAGTAGCATAATTTGAAGTTCAGATTTACAAGTCACTTTCACATGCCCTGATCACAAACAGCACTATTAAATCAATTATTAGACCTTGTCCACAGGTACACCAATACTATGCATAACAAAGAAGAAAAAGAATATCCTGTCCCGATAATGGTCAAATGGCAGTAAATGACCCCCGACTGGCAGCAGTCATGCCCAGTTACCAACACAAAGGAGAAATAAAAACACCCTCTTAGGTCATGTCCCTGTCCTGTTGATCTCACATGTGGAATGTGCCTGGTTAAGATGGTGCCATCACTTGTGCTCTACTCTGTCTCTCAGTGTGGACTTCTTTCTTTTTCTCAAAAAGTTCAGTATGTGCTTCACTTTGACCTGTCCTGAAATTCCTTTCTGTGACAACTTCAAGAACCCTAATGGCTAAGTTCAAGTCCACCTGCCTTTTGGGGATCTCCTCGGAACCCTCATCCCAATGACAAATGGACACATTTGGATAAGGGTGAAATGGTAAGTCAGGATGTCAATCTCAGATTCTCTATAACTATTTCTGAGTAATGTTAGTGATGGAGAAAGGACTCTTGGAGACAGATGGCCCTGTACGAGTAATCAGACATTAATCACCGACGGTGGTGACTCCAGTGAATGAGCTTACCTCATGCCATATTCCTGCTACATGTGCATCAGCTTTTTTAATTCTTGCCACAACCCAGTGTAGACGGCCCATTGTCCTCTGATGTCATTGTCAGCTAAGACCAGGAAAAGTGAACCACTAAGTGAAAGAAGTGGAATTGGAATGTAGCCATGAGACTGGGCTACCAATATTGCTGTCAGGGTTATCTCGTCTTGGAAATGTACTGGACCAAGATATCCTCCATTTTTCATCTCCAGAGTGCCTTCAAACTTTTTCTTCATTTATTATTGCTCTCCTCCTGACACTTTAGCATTTTGTAAAGTAATTTCATTGGTGACTTCAGAAGTAAAGACAGACATTGCTCAGGGGGTCACACGCTAAGCCATTGTGTAAGCAATGGCTCTATAGCATGCCTCCCAAGAGGTGGTACTATTATTATCTGTATTTTACAGATGCAGAAACAGGCTTGGAGGGATCCACATTGCTCTTAGTGGCAGAACTGACCCTGAGAAGTCTTCGGAGTTCTGTTCTGTACTCTGTTCCTTTGTAGTAGGTGAAGAAGGTAATTGGCAGCCCCTCCCTTGCCTGAGAAATGAGCACAGAAACAGTAGCAGAGAACTTC